GATTTGGTTTCAGTCTTTGGTTTTAAGACTACATTCTATCTATAGTTGTTAGTTTTCAGCTATAACTTGTAAGTGTATATGCTAGAGTTATATAGAATCTAGTCGTGATTGACTTAGAATTGGTGGGTCCGCCTTATTTCTTGTTCCTTGTTTGGTTGTGGGCCTAGGGTAGACCCATTACATTCGACGTTTTATCTAACTTTAATTTTATATAACTTATATATACTTGGAGATTATAGAAGGAAACTATAAGGAATTCTAGGATGCACTATTTCATAACATAGAAACATTTAATTCACTTTTTAAGGAAAATATCGGATTTTATGGAACAACTTAGTTGCTTTTGCAAGGAAAACAATTTATTTCTCAATTAAAACTCTTATGAACTCACCAACCTTTGTGTTGACACTTTTTCAAACAACTTGTATTCTTAGGAAATCGCTAAACAGGTAATCATCTACTTTCAAGGAAGGGGTGCTAAGGTGTTAAATTCAAAACTTATTTTGTCATCATGATGTAATTGATTTTGAAACATGTAAACTTACTCTATGATGTAAGTCTTTCAATTATATTGATGATGGTTGTGTTTGCTTTCTTCACTATTATACTCGTTGTTATGATACTATACATGAAGTCATCCACCCCCGAACGTTTCCGCCGTTCTGGTTTGGGGGTGTGACACCATTGGCACGACAGATCATCTCAAGCGCCATTACCTTATTAACAATGTTGGGAGTCAACATATGGATGCTACAACCTTCTTTTAGTAGAACCTCCTCTTGGAAATCGGTAAGAGGAATGCATAACCCGACGTCAAGGGACTTCAGATAAACCCCCCACTTTGCTAGGAGGGGGGGGGGGACGTAATAGACAAACCAAGCGACAGGAACTCGACCCCATCCACTGAAGAAAGGCCGTATGTCTCCTCCAGATACTTGTACTCATCACTAGAAGGAAGAGTTCCAGATGACTCAGCCATGAAAGAAAAAAGAAAAAGAACTATAGAAGAAAGAAGAACAGATGAGAGGAAGCATGAAGAAAAAGGAAAAGATAACGATAAGTGTTCTTATATGAGAAAAGAAAAAGCGGGATATTCAAAATCCCTAACAAATGAAGTAACCGCTAGCCATGATGAACGGTCACATCGTTATTAAAAATCGGAATGACCGACAAATAGAAAAAGGACACGTAAAGAGCAGTTAAGTCCAGAACGTCGTAGCTAGCATAACAATGCTACGTCTAACGGATTAGGGGACTTGATAACGTGCCCTAGCCAGCATGAAAGGGCCGCACCCAGCTCAGAAGGCTGGCGCACCCGGCAGACTAGGCCCAGCGATCTTAGAGCCCGTCAGTGCCCCTAAGGGCAGGACGCTCTAGCAAAAGGATAAGCGCCCACCAAAGGCGTCCTCGCAAGAGGCTCGCGCCCGCCAAGGACGCCTTAGAGCTCCACAACAAAAGATACAGTCAGACGACAAAGCAATAGATCAGAGCATTACCGGCAGGACCAATGCAACGCTCTGACAAGTAGAGGAGCACGATCAACCAATTAGCGTCCCGGATCCTGTCGGGTCAGGAGAACCTGTCTCGTATGGACAAGTATGATCGTTGATTTTAATAGGCACAACTCATGACCCCGACATATAAGATGCCTTCTCCAAGCTACACTCATACACACTCTCTAAACCCTACTGCCTTGACCATTGGAGCGCTTTTACAAGAACACCCTCCCTGGAAACGGCCGATGACCACTTTTCTATGTGATCTTGTAGGAGCAACTCAGGAACTGTTGCCAGAGCTTACCCAGAACAAGAGCAAGGTCGCATCATTGTTCAACCTTTGATCAACTCGAGGGTGCCCGTATCCTCTTTGATTTGACCCAGAATAGCCTCCCAAAGCTCGTGCCTCTTCACAGTCTTCTTTTTGCAATTAAGGGCACATGTCGACTGGGTGCCCAATTTGAGTGCAAATTCCGCAAGGGCGTGGTGTGGGCTAGACACCTTTGTCTTTAACAAGCATCATTACCACCTTGGTCAACTAAAATAGTTGAGCTTCAATTTGAGGAGTGTGCACCTCTTTTATACCTATACATCATGTACAATTCTCCATCGTGACCTGAATGTTTGGAATTCTCCGTCATGTTCTTGATGAGGTTGCGGATTTCTGTCGGGGTCTTATCGGATAAAGACCCTCTGATTGAAGCATTACGCAACCTTCTTTCCATTGGAGTCATGCCTTCAATTAAGTATTGGAGAAGTTGGTATTTAGTGATTCCATGCTCTGGGAAACGAGCATAACCTTTCTTGAATCTTTCCCAATAGTCTTGTTTGATTCCGGTGATCTCTTTCTTTAGGGATGAAGCTTTCATTTTTGGGAAATGTTTATCCAAGAAGAGGCATGCAAGGTCTACCCATGTGGTGACCGTGCATGATGAGACATCATATAGCTAATCTTTGGATGCGTCTTACACTGCAAAGGGGAATGCCCTAAGCTTGATTTGATCCTCTGTAACATTGTGTGGTTTCATGCCAACACACACAACATGAAATTCATTGAGGAAGTCAGGAGGATCTTCATTATAAAGGCCTCTAAAGGTTGGAAGTATGTGGATGAGTTTGAATTTTAATTCAAGGTTGGTTGTAGGTGGATAAATGATGCAAAGAGGTTGTTGAGTGACCTCTTGCCTCGCCCATCGACGAAGGGTTTGTTTAGGTGGATTTTCACCCATGTTGGTTGGTGGAATTAATGTTTTAGTAAGCGTAGGTTCTTGGTTATTGTGAGTGGTCGAGGAAGGCGATGTGATATTTGTAGGTGAGGATGTTTGAGGTGAGAGTTAGAGAGTTTCTATTTCGGTTTCTGATACACTTGATATGGGTATATCCTCCTAAATGCTAATGACCGGAAGGGTGGATGATGAAGAAGTACCAGAACTGGGTTACCTCTTACGAAGCTTGTCTTGCTTCTATAACCTATTTGCAGTCTTCTCTATCTCCGTATCTATTGGAAATGGTGTACCTGTACGGAAAAAAATCATGGCATAAAACAATTAGTAGCATCGTGTCCTCCACAACGACACCAATTTATTGGAGTGTTAAACCTAACAAATAAATGGGCACAAAATTACTCCAAAAACATTGCTACTTAGCACTAAAAATGTAATACAAGGTAAGAAGGGTCGATCCACAGAGACACGAAACAAATGTTTATACCTGTTTGCATAAGGTACAAACATGGTCATATAAAGGTGGGGTTTATGTGCAATGAGTTAAACAAGTGAATGAAACAATAAGTAAATGATCGACTAAATGAAACAAATTCACGATTTGTGAGGGCTCCAACTCTATGTTGGATAATTTAGCAATGTGATTGCAAGGATGATATGATATATAATCAATTATATCTAAATTGGTACTTGAAAGTGTTAACAAGCTCTAACACTTCCCATTCACTAAATTATCAAATTCAAAACAAGCTCTTTGAAAATAACCTAACCTTCTAATTTAAGTCTAAACAAACTCTTAGATAGAAATCAAAAGGTTGCAATTAGATTTATCTGAATGTTCCTAACAACACCCAATACCCCTCACAAGATCAAGAGCGTGTGAATAAGATATACATTAAATTCATTCAATGGAAATCAATTTAATGCTTGTTACCTAGTCCAATTCACAAAACAATTACAGATTTTGCAATTAGATAACTTGAATAATCTAACCCTAATTTAAATAGCCAACAAGAACTACCATTAGAAACAAACGTTCAATTAAAACAAGATCCAATTCACTAGATAAAAATGGAAAGCAAACATCAAGTTACATGATTGAAATCACAACTAAAAAATTCAAGACATAAAGTTGGACAAACTAGGGTTCTAGCCACTCATGACTAGAACAAGATCACAATTCTAGAAAAATGAAATTAAAGTGCTTGCAAAATGAAATCAAATGTTCCCAAGTGTTAATCAACTACAAAATTCTCTAGAAGATCGCAAAAAGTGCTCCCAAAATCGATGAATAGAAAAATGAGGTTGTTTGCCTCTTTTTGGAAAAGATGAGAAATCGGTACTAAACTCACGCCCATGTTTATACAGCCTGTGTAAATTAACATTGTCGTTTACACTGTCCGTGGAAACGCAAAAAGTAGAACGCTCAAACTGTTGTTGTGGATTTCAAATCCACGACCTGCGGAAATTCATGCTTTAATTTTCCACAACCGTGGAAATCTCTAACTGCGGAATTTCCCCAATTTTCTACAACTTCTTCCTCTATGATCCGAAAGCTGTGGAATATTGTCCACACCTTCTAGTTACCTCCCTAAGTGAGTTCCCACCTCCAAAAGTTCTTGAAACATCATAAAATAGTGTGAGTAAAATAATATCATGAAATATCCCGAAAACATGTAAAATGCATGAAGTTAAGCCTAAATGTAATATAATGGTGTGGAATAAAAATGGATAAAATGCACCTAACACATGTACACACGGTTATTTATTTGAGGTCGCTGCATAAAACTAGTGTGTATAGATTGTATCTATTCCTAAAATTAAATATCTATTTTGAAGTGTTTAATATAATTTTTTCAATCAAATTTCCGATTTTAAGCTCTTGTATCGTAAATACTTTCTATTTAATATGTCTGTGTTACTTTTTGTTAGGTTTTAGTAAAAGCGAAATTTCTCTCAAAATTCAATAATTATTTATTGGATTTCAGAAATATTTCTTGAAATTTTGGATTTTTTTTTTCAAATTCGAAATTTTGGCCTGAAATGCAGTATATTTGTACAAAAATTACTGTGTTTTTATAAAAAAAAAATACTTTTTTTTGTCATATTCCACACGTGTTTAGTTATTTTTTTTTAAAGATATACATTATATATATTTTTTCTTTAAATAACATTCCTCACATGTTGGTTATTTAAAAAAAAAAAGTAAATAAATTTGATTATTATCTTTATTTTTACGTCATATTATTATTATTTTATCTTAAAGAAATGGAAAAAAGTTGAGAGACGGCGACGCTCTCCTTGACCCACGTCAGATATTCATTTGCCATATACATTACCCTCGGCCGCTTCCGATCTCTGTTCCTTCCATTTGTTTTCTTTTTTCACAATCCGGTCGATATGGCGGCATCCTGCCACCGAATCTCCACCGGCAACGCCTTATCAGCTGATGCAAATTCGCATATACAAACAAAGCGGAACCGACGACTATCCTCTGAATCACAATTCCTCTCTACTCCAAATCAATGGCAAAGAGGCGGTATCGTTCTGACAACGAGTAGGCGACGATGGCTGATTGAAGCGGTGCCACCGGTGGAACGATTTGAAGACGACGGAGGAGAGGAGAAGAGGAAATTAATAAGTACGGTTTGCTCGTACGCTTTACAGGACAAACAGGACGTTGTCGGAGACGAGGATGAGGAGACGGTCGAAAACGTAGATCGAGATTGGAGGCGGAGGAGGACGGAGGTTGCTGTGGCGGCGATTGTTACAATGGCGCTAGGAGTAGGGAATCGAGTCCTGTATAAGCTCGCTTTGGTTCCATTGAAGAAGTACCCGTTCTTCTTAGCTCAGCTCGCCACTTTCGGGTACCACAAACCGATTTCTCTTTCTCTCTCACACACACAACCACACACATTAAAAAATTGAAAATGGTATCTTTGAACATGGCTTCTCGTCACTGTGATTTTCTAATATTTTATTTAAAATTTAGTATTGTTTTAATAGTGTTGGATATTTGATTTTTAACCTATTATTAAATCTAGAATGCTAGGATCCACTGTACTATTCCCATATCCCCTTCCTCCACCATAACTGACCTCCACTACCACCACACACATGAACGCATTATTTGCAGATTTAGTGGAGAGAGAGGAAATAGTGGAGGTGAATAGATGTCAATTAAATAAAAGTAAAAGGTGCAAAATGAAATGATGTTTTAATTAGTAGGTCCATATGAAAATATCTATATGGTTTATGGAATGTGCAATAAATACTCAACAGTGAGTGGTTTGGAAACCAAAAAAAAAAAAATCTGAGTGGTTTATTCTATGGGAACCAAAATGAATTGGTTGTTTTTGTTTGTAGGGAAGAAATATGTTTCTTTAAGAAAATACGATTCTTCATATATTTTTATTTTTTAATCTTTTATTTGTTTTTTGTTTTCAGTCATGGAGTGGATTAAAATTATAGCATGAGTCGTTGAAAATTATATTAGTAATCGTAAAGGTATATTTTTATTTCGGAGAATTACAAAAATGTTCAAAATGAGAGGGGTGGGTACACAAAATGACAATATTTTGAAAAAAAAAACATTATTTCATAAAATAGACTCTGAAATTACACGAATAGTCCCTATGGTTTAGGGTAATTTGCGCGTTTGGTCCTTAACTTATTTTTTTAACTCGGAAGGTCCCTTTGGTACCTGACTTACCTAAACATACTATTTTGCTCATGATTTTTTGATTTATTTAAATTAACACACCTCCAATCCCACCTCCTTCACCTTACCTTACCTACTCTATCATTTTTTTCTATTTAAATAATATTATTTTTAGGTAAGATAAGGACCAAACGTGTAACAAAAACAAACAGTAGAGACCTTCCGAGTTAAAAAAATAAGTGAGGGACTAAACGTGCAAATTACCCCAAACCATAGGGATCATTCGTGTAATTTACTCAATGTTTTTCTCAATATTTTTATACCAAAATTACATATTTTCTCAAACTATTTCACAAATAATAACATTTCATTTTTTCTTAAAGATTTTGTTTTTGGTGAATATTTACAAAGCAAATAAATAAATAAATAAATAAAATAAAAAATCCAAAATGTCTATTAGAAAACTAAGTTATTTTCCGGTAAATATTCAAAACATTGTTATTTTGTTTCCTTGTGATATCTCCTATTTTATTTTAATAAAATTTTAAATATAATCCATTAGTATGTTAAAGTTTTAATAAAATTTTATATAATCTATTTTGTAAAAAGAGACGTTTGACTCATTCCTCAATTGTGATTCATTCATTATTGCTTATTGCTTAAAGCAGAAATGGACCATCTCGGTAAACCCAAAATTCTGCACGTCTATTAACGTGTCACGTTTACCAAAGAAATAGAAAAAACTTTGTTTTACCTTCCTTCATTCTTTATTCATCACTATTAGTATAACTTATTACTATTATTGGAATTGGATTATAGTATACGATAAAGGTTAATAACTAGATTACGCTATTCTATGTTTGCTATTTTTGTAACGATGTTTCTTATACGTATATATATATTTTTGATCTATATAACAATTTGTTTATTAGATGAAATATCCAAATACAACATTTTACCTATATACCCTTTTTAACTAATCAAAACGTCGTTGCATAATCGGTGTAACTTGCATAATTGGTAAAAAGGGACGAACTGAGTTTCCATATCTAATAACCTATTTGCAAAATAAAATAATAAAATAAAATTACACCTTTATGTTTTAGATTCTAAAGGATTTCTCTTTAATCTGTCCAATTAGTTTTAGTTTTCAAGGGTGGGTGCCAATTTGACTAAGAATTATATTTTGTATTTTTGTTTTTTTTTTTTATCACCTTTTAATATTTTTTAGCAACTTGCAGTTTGGTAGAATTTGTTTTTAGTATTTAGTACTAATGGTATCACAAAAGACATGTAAAACCACACTAGGGTTAAACTTTTGTTGCATATTGTCATATTAAAAAAATGCAATATGAGGTTCGAAATCAAGATCTTTAATAATTAATATATATATATATATATATATATATATATATATATATATATATATATATATAAAGTGAGAATGAGTACAACATATAATGATATCTTTTTAAAAAAGATGTAGTATAATGGAAGGGATAGACGTGATGAAAGTTTGAGTTAATGTGTATCAATCCTTTTTGCTTTTTGTGTTTTGTTTGGTAACTTTTTAGAACTTCTAGTGGAATCTAATATTGCCCCTTTTCAAATATTTATTCTCATTTAATTTTTGATTGGTTATATGCTTATACATTTTTTTTTGCATCATTCCATGTACTTCACTCTTTAAAGATTCCAGTTGTTACGCTTTTTCTGCTTCATTTTCATGAAAATTGTAACATCTGAAACACCAATGATTTATTTGTCGAAATGGAAATAATAAAACAAAAGAAATTTTTGGATCTGAATTGGTACTTACTACAAAAGATTACAATTTAACGGTTTTCAAAAAAGGTGGATTGATACTTACTTTTGTGAAAAAGATGTAAATGCCCTTCTCATCCTGCTAATATAAGATTTGTATGGAGATTTTTTTAGATATGTGGCAGTGTACTTCTCCATCTTACATTTCCGATACCGAGCTGGCATTGTTACAGATGAAATGCTTTCCATGCCAAAAGCTCCTCTTCTTGTTGTTGGTCTCTTAGAAGCTCTTGGTGCTGTTTGTGGAATGGCAGCCGGAGGTAATAAATAATCCAAATCCAGTTTTTTTATCTTTATGTGCAAAAGATGTAAATGCCCTCCTTATCATCATTATAAACCTGGTCTATGTTTGACAACTAGCTTATTTTTCAAGTTTTTTTAAGTTGTCATGTTAGGCTCTGTTTGGCGCGTCACAGCTAGCTTATTTTTCGAGTTTTTTTAAGTTGTCATGTTTGTCAAACTAAAAAGTAGTTTGTCAGCTAGCTTTTTAAAAAGCTACCTACAAAAGTTTTTTATGAGCTTTTTTAAAATTTTCCAAATATACCTCTTATTCAATTATAGAAACATATTCTTTTAAATACCCTTTTATGTCATTTTATATCTTTCAGCTAGTTTTACCAAATATCATTTTTTATTAACTAGTTTTTCAGCTGTCAGTTAGCTTTTTATTTAACAGCTAACAGTTAGCTTTTCAGCTAGTACGCCAAACATAGCCTTAGCTGCTAGCTTTCTAAAAAGCTACTCAGACTAGCATTCAATGAGTTTTTTTTTTTTTGAAAGTTCTCCAAAATATACCTTTTATTAATTATAAAAAAAATTCAACCATCTACATGCCTTTTTATGTCATTTCATATATTTCAGTTAACTAATCATCATTTTTTATTGGTTAACAGCTTTTCAGCTAGTCTGCCAAACATACCTTATAAGTTCATGATCTTAATTTACTAATAACTTTCTACCATGTTCATTATTCAGATTTTTCTATTCTTACAATTAAAATATTGAAATAAAGATATTTTACTTAACATGTTCATCTTTTACTTCAACAGCCGTACTTTCAGGAGCAGCGATTCCAATTTTATCACAGGTAACTTGGGTGTAACTTTTTACTGTAATTTTTATTTTTTTCTTGTCATGAAATTGTAAATATTGTTGACTGGATTAGATGCTTAATATTTTCAGAGCTTTCTCGTTTGGCAAATCATCTTGTCATATATTTTTCTTAAAAGGAGATACAAATTCAATCAGTTATTCGGATGCTTTCTTGTTGCCCTCGGTGTCGTTATTACAGTTGCCAGGTATTTTTCCATCAATAACATCAACACCATACATGAATAATATATTTCCAAGGGTGTTTTTGTAATTTTCCCCTACTACTTGAATCTTACAGTGGATCTAGTGCTGGTTCATTAATGGAAGCCGGTATATTTTGGAGTCTTTTAATGATCGTTTCCTTTTTATTTCAAGCTGGTGACACCATTCTAAAGGTCCGTAATTTCTTTTATGAAATTTATTTCTTCTAATTTTTTAAATTTAATGTAATCATCTTCACGTTCATGTGTTCCCTGTAGGAAGTCATTTTCTTGGATGCGACTAAAAAGTTAAAGGTGTGTATAACTAATTAACTATAAAATATAAACATCTAGAATTTTTCTTATATAAGCTTATATTTTACAAATTGTTCAATAGGGAGGCTCTGTGGATCTATTTGTTTTAAATTCATATGGATCTGCATTCCAGGTATGTGACTTTACAAAATCAATCAATCAAGATGTTAAAAAGAAAACTATTAGACCAAATCCGTGAAAACGAACAAACCACAGGGACTAAAAATGTAATTTACCCTTACATTGTGTTTCTTTTTGTTTGTCAGGCGCTTTTTATTTGCCTTCTCCTACCATTGTTGTCAAGGTTATGGGGTATCCCTTTTCATCAACTCCCAAACTATCTTTCAGATGGAGCAGCTTGCTTTCTAAACATTGGCACTGTATCAAGTGGTAACAAAATTAGTTTCTTTCTCTTTTCAACTTTTCAGAATTGAGATGAAATTAACTAGTTATAATTATAATTATAATGTAGATACTTGCATTTTTTGTTAATCGATAATAGCAATATTTAACGTGAAATTCTGGTAACAGGATGTGAGGGAGCTCCATTGTTACCATTGCTGTTTTGTATAGTGAATATGGGGTACAACATATCGTTGTTGCATCTAATAAAAATCTCATCTGCTGTTGTATCTTCTCTTGCTTCAACAGTTTCTGGTATGTGTATTTTCATCCTTTTAACTTATTAAGCCATTTTATATGTCTCAAATCTTATTAAAATACCAATATATCTTTGAAATGTTGATTGCAGTTCCAATATCTGTGTTTTTGTTCACGTTGCCATTACCATATTTGGGGGTGGCGTCTTCTCTCCCACCAGGGTTTATAGGAGGTGCAGTGGTGCTTGTGATGGGGATGTTGATTTATGCATGGACACCATCCACACGTGCTCCAATTCCATCACCTTTCACTAGCACGTGATCATTATTACAAAGTTTGTAGTATAGAAATTGGTAGATTGTTGTTGTTGTTGTTGTCGACATAAATTGGTCAATTAAAGTTTTGGCTTTTTGATTACCTATTTCTCTATAAATGAAATTGAAAAAAAAAAATTGCTCGTTAAAACTATATTTCCTTTTATAAAGCCAAAAACATGCATAAATGAAAGTGACTAAGCATGGTATTGGCACAATAGGATATGTGATATTGAAATATGTTAGTTTGTTTAATTAATTGGAAATGTAAGAAAGTAAAAGATAGAAGTTGATGGGAATGATGTGAGGCATGTTTGGTGTCCGGTTTGGATATTTAGGATAAATGGATATGATTTATATAGATTAAAATGGCCAGGTAAGAATGTATAAGTTGAATTGGTTGATTATCTTCATTTACGGGTAATCCGACCAGTTGCGGTGGAATTTTTGATTTTTTCCTATGTAATAATAAATGGGTAAAGTGGTGTGTTACTTTGTAAAAACAGAAAAATGTTTAAATAGTCACCGTTAAGACGAAAATGTCAAATAAAAAATTACTTGTAAAATAAGATGTAAAAATAAAACTGATTTTAAAAAACATAAAAAACAAAGTTATAAAAAAAAGTTTGGAAAAACTATAATCAACATTACCTGTTAAAAATATATATGTAACTGAAGTTCTAAAAATAATTATAAATGAACCTGAAAAAATATTTTTTAAAAAATCCTAATTTTAACAAATATAAAAATAATAATAATAAGTTTAAAAAAAAAGCAGATTGTTAGGAAAAAAAAAAAGTTAATATCAAATTTTTTAAAATACCATAAAAATAGACTGAATTGTAATATAGAAAAGTTGGGGGAAAGTTATAATAAAAGTTGGTGCGGATTGCAACAAAGTCATTAAGTTAAATAAAAATTTCGATTTTGATACCGTATTTTTCCTTTCAATCAAGTTATTATATCTACAATTTTATTGCAATATCAATCAAATGACCGATTATCCATATTCTCTCGGTAGCCATTTTTTCCAAATTGTAATAAAGTTACTAAGTTTACCAAAATTTCGATTTTAACACTATGTTTTGTTTTGTGTTTTTTTTTTTGTTTGTTTTTTTTTTTTTTTTTTGTTTTTGTTTTTGTTTTTGTTTTTTTTTTTTTTCAATTATGTCGATTTATTTACAATTTTATTGCAATATCAGATAATTGATCAGTTACCATCAATCTAGCAGGTTACCAAATAAATAACATGACTATTGTGATGTAGAATCCATGTCAGATCTTATGTGGTAGGATTGAGTTTCAAATATAGGGTTTGCATCGAACCCAATTTCACATATCTTCTCCTCTTATCGTCAGAGTATTTTTTTTTCACAAATGACGTCTGAAGGTCGGTCCAATGGTTCAAACTCACTTATAAGTAAGCGAAAATGCCATAATCACCCTTCAAAAGATGCTATTAAACTCGATTTGTACAAAAAGTAAATAAAGACACTTACAAGGTCGATCCAATGGTTCAAACTCACTAAGCATCTCCTAGATCGGCCTTGTATGGGTCTTCATTTACTTATTGTACAAATTAAGCTTCTAAACCACAATAACATCTACTGAAAGGGTGAGTATGCCATTTTCATTGATTTTTAAAGTCATTTCACTAATCACTATTTGATTATGATTTATGATTTCACAGTACTAGACTCAAATATGATTACATATATTGGTTGCGGTCCAATGTGCCATGAATATTCCTTTTTAGAGTAGAGAAGTTTGGTTCTCGTATATCATGCATATAAATGCATAGTAAAAGTCAAATACTAGGAGTGCACTCGCTATGTAATGTTGCAGAAAGTAAAAGTCAAATACCAGAGTGCACCGACGAGACTCCGATACAAGGTAAGATTAGCCACAATAGGTCCTATATATTCCACCTTAGAGGAGCATCCGACTGGTGCAACACCCGCTTAAGGCACATATTACAATATTTTCCACTTTGGGTCACCCATTATGTAAACTTCCTAGTGGGTTGCCCATCTTGAAATTGCACTCGTCTGGGCATAGTTAATTGTAAAGTTCTTATGGGATCCATTGCCCTCATGACTTTAAAATGCGTTGTGATAGAGAAGGTATCCATGCCCCTTATAAGGAATTCTTAGTTCTCATTCCCAACCGATGTGAGATCATATGTAGGTAAGCCCTTATTCTTATTATTTGAGAAATTTGCATGCTATTTCTAACATAAAATTAAACATTTAGAAGCCTAAAAACATAAAATTATACTTTCTATATTAAGGTCAACCGCCTTAAGGGGCTATTTGATATAGAAAATTGGAGGGAGGGAATTGGAATCATTTCCATTTCTCTTGTTTGGTTTACAATTGAAATATGAGAAATGAAAAAAAACTGCTTCTATTTCCACCTATTTAATTCTCTAATTTTTGTGAAGAAATGATGAGAAAAGATAGTTATCCAACACCCGAGAATTAGAAGAAAAAAAAGCCGAGAATCAAATTGAAGGTTGCAACCTCTGTTACGTTCCAAGTTCGAACCCTTTTTTCTCCTTCATCTCATCATCGGAGTTTTCTTCAATATTCCTACTATTTTGGCGATTACACAATTGATTTTGCAAGGGAAAATTGATTTAGGAATAATAATCGATTCAGAAGATTGGAACACTATTGATTCGCATGCAACTCTTTCCTCTTAAAAGGTAATTTGTAACGTCCGAAAAATCCAGAACCAAAAAATTTGTATTCATATTAAATAAACATCAACCAAATGTGATAATCAAACCCATAAGAAAGTCATATTGTATCAAGAATCATCCAAAATACATCAGAGTCAATAAAATGGAAAAACATGGTGTGTGCGATGTGATCATCCCGAGCTCTCCCCCTTCGAATTCGAAGTACCTGAAACATAAACTGAAAATCGTAAGCTCAAGGCTTAGTGGGTTCCCCAAAATACCTCATACCATACATACAATGGGCCCCACCTACCATCGGTCCCCGCGCGGTATACATACAAACACATATAATACATGTAAGAGTCACAAAGATAGTTAGCATACTATAACATAATCCAATGGGTCGGTATTGGTGCCTTCGACCCGTAAGTACTATGAGAAGACTTACCTAAATCAGAAGATAGAAAATCTCACATCCAAGTGTGCTTCACAACAAATCCTCTCACTGAACACAATTAATACCAACCTTAGTTACTATATAAGGTTAAGCCTATAAATCATAAGGCCCAATAATGGCCTAAGCCCAAACTAGGCCCACTAATGGCCCAAGTCCAAATAGAGAACCCTAAGGCCCAATATAGGCCTAAAAGTTCCAAAATGGCCTAAAGTCAATGTTTGAAGCTTCAACAGCTGACCCTTACATCGTGACCAACTCATGGTCACGTCGTGAGTATGAACTTGACACGATCCCAACTCAGCGGGTCAACTCGCCCAACTTCGATTCCAATCATCGTCATGTCGTGGCCACTCCTGAGTCACATCATTACCTAAATAAAATAAAACAGTCGCGAATGGCATGTATTCTCATGATGTGGCAGGCTCATCCTTACGTTGTGAGTGTTGCCTTGGCCAGCTTTGAGCATTAAGCTCTTATTCCATTAAGCCACTACTTGGGACTTTCCAAAGGGTCTTCCTTCACCCAAAAGATAATAAAAATCATAGCATTTTAGTCATGCATGTCCAATGTATGAATTAAACACTCACTAGGTCAAAAGATGGAAAATGAGATCAAGACTCATGCTTGGAGTCTAAAACCAACTCCAAAACTCATATCCAAAGCTTATAATATAAGAGTCGTCTCAATGATTCATAAAGTTGCCAACTTTATGGATCCCATTCATGATATCCAACTCAACCATGAAAAAAAGGAGCTTAAAACCTAGATCTATCATGCAAGAGGTAAAAAGGCTAGAGCTTTATGATTTACAAAGGTACAAAAGCTTATCAAGAAGGTGAGGTAGAAGCTACATTGCCAGGAGAATGCTCCACAAAAGTCTTCTTCTACTTAAATGAGCCAAATACCACCAAATAAGTTGTTCAAGGTCACCAAAAATGGCTAAGGACCTCAAGCAGGTCGAGATCAAGGTTTTCAGGAGGCTAGGGAATGAGGGAGGCTGAGGATGGGCAACCCTAGTGTAGCACCTGGTTCCTGGTACGTGAGTTTTGCCTTAGTAATTGTGTTTTTAGCCGTGGACTCGGCGAGTTGGAGGCCCGACTCGCCAAGTGGAGACGAGACTTTGGGGCGTGGATAAGATGGCGACTCGACGAGTCCATATTAGGGACTCGGCGAGTCTGCGCTGTTTGATGAAACCCTAATTTCCAAGGGTTTTCACGCTATTTAAACACCCATTTGCGCCCCAACTCCGCCCCATTCACCCCCAGAAGCTCTCCATACGTTCTAGCTCTTGTTCTTGTGAGTTTGAGGCATTTTAGTGTGTATTCTTGAAGATTTTGAGAAGGAAGTGGAGTAGATCAAGAGGAAGCATCTTAGAGTCCTCTCAGTGATTTCCTTGAGGTAAAACTCGTTTTCCCTCTGTCTATATGCTTATAACTCCATTAAAGTCTTCCTTGAGCCCTTCCCCAAGCTTGTATGTGCATCATATTCCGTAATAAATTGATTGGCCTCTAGATTTAGGCTTGGTTGAGCTCCAGGAGCTCAGATCTACTACCTTTATGGACCCATATTGCATGAAGACCTTAGATCTACTCTTTTGGTGCATTTTGAACCCTAAAACCCTCATGGATGAATATCTACACGTAAAGTTGGAAACTTTACGTGTTATTCATGCTCTAGAAACCCAGATCTATGAATGGAATGGACTAGATTTGAGTAAAATCGTGTATATGGCTCTTGCATGAAACAGACTCGGCGAGTCGCTCATCTGACTCGGCGAGTCTAGTCACGAGTCTCCGAGATTGTCCCCTTTTAGCTGTGTCGAGTTGTGTAGTGAGTCCAGGATGGACTTGGTGAGTTGGAAGCCAAAACTCACCCATAACGGAACACGATGAGTCGATACCCAGACTCGGCGAGTTCAAGGCAATCTCCTTAGATCAAGATCAGACTCGGCGAGTTGTTCATACGACTCGGCGAGTCACAGTATAAATTGTTCATCGGATGAAGATGAACTCGGCGAGTAGGATGAAGGACTTGAACATCAGTTGGAAGGAGAACTCGTCGAGTTAACGCGTAACTCGACGAGTAGAAACAGAATCCAGGTCATTCGTTTGGACATGGACTCGACGAGTTGGCGAGCCAAGTCGGCGAGTCGGGTC